AAACAGCTGGGTGTTTGGAATGCTGGAAATCAAGGGCCACAGACGTTTAAAGATAGTCAAAAACCGCTCAAGACAGACTCTTGTTCCCATAATCTGAAGACATGCAAGAAGAGGATCCATCATTTTCAGTGACTGTTGAAGAACATATGCTCAGGCACTTCCTAGACATGGGTACAGGCATTTTACTGTGAACTATTCAGAAAACTTTGTTAATCCAATCACTGATTGCCATACACAGCACATAGAACGTGCATGGGAAAGCATCAAGTCACAGGTTAACATGCAAAGAGGCAACAGAAGCAAACAGCTCTTGAAAGAGCATTTGAAATGTATTACGTGGTCTCAATTAGGCAAACAAAACAAAGCAGGAGTACTTGCTCACTGTTTCATGACATTAGGAAACATTTCAAAATCCAATAATTTGCAACCATAAAGAATATAAAAAGTTGTACTGCTAAGAAATTGGGTAAATATATGTAGATCCAGGGTGCATCATCATTTCTTATCTATAAGAAGCTAATGTGATTTTTTTATGTCATCTTTGTAAATTTAGCATGTAAATTCTATGTATTAAAATGTGTTTCCTGTTTTTCCAGTTTAGTATCACATTATTTCCTTAGACCACAAGTTCTGCAGTGTACTTTAAGAGGATATTTTTTTTGTATTTTCAGTGTAAGTACATTGTAATTCCTGTGTATCAACAATGGTTCCTCACTGTATTTTAAGAGGGCAGATTTAGTGTATTTTCATTGCAAGTACACGATAGTTCCTGTGTATCAACAACGGTTCCTCACTGTATTTTAATAGGGCAGATTTAGTGTATTTTCATTGTAAGTACACGGTAGTTGCTGTGTATCAACAACGGTTCCTCACTGTATTTTAAGAGGGCAGATTTAGTGTATTTTTATTGTAAGTACACGGTAGTTGCTGTGTATCAACAACGGTTCCTCACTGTATTTTAAGAGGGCAGATTTAGTGTATTTTTATTGTAAGTACATGGTAGTTCCTGTGTATCAACAATGGTTCCTCACTGTATTTTAAGAGGGCAGATTTAGTGTATTTTCAGTGTAAGTACATGGTAGTTCCTGTGTATCAACAATAGTTCCTCATTGTATTTTAATAGGGCAGATTTAGTGTATTTTCATTGTAAGTACACGATAGTTCCTGTGTATCAACAACGGTTCCTCACTGTATTTTAATAGGGCAGATTTAGTGTATTTTCATTGTAAGTACACGGTAGTTCCTGTGTATCAACAACAGTTCCTCACTGTATTTTAAGAGGGCAGATTTAGTGTATTTTCATTGTAAGTACACGGTAGTTCTTGTGTATCAACAATGGTTCCTCACCGTATTTTAAGAGGGCAGATTTAGTGTATTTTCATTGTAAGTACACGGTAGTTCTTGTGTATCAACAATGGTTCCTCACTGTATTTTAAGAGGGCAGATTTTGTGTATTTTCAGTGTAAGTACCCGGTAGTTTCACAGTAGTTAAAAACATTCCTGAGTGTCTAAATGGTACCACCCTTCCCAACAAAATTTACTTAGTTAACATGAGTTAACAACTAATACATGTTGTTTATTTATTAAGCATAGTTACTGTTATGGTATGTGTTGTTATTTTTTTTACATTATTTAATGCAGTATGACATAAGTGAGAACATTTGCACTAACATAAACAAAGATTGTATATGCTAAAAATTACATTATTCTTTGCTATTTCCTCAAACCTTTTGTATATTAACTACTGTTTACAAATAAATTCTTATCGTCGTTTTGCTGAATAGATGGTGCAGTTTATTTACATTATTTACAACAGGTGAGGTGCACACCACTAATAATAAAAAAAAACAAATGACTCACTTTCCTAACACAAAATGTTGAATGAATGAACTGAATTAACATTTATGTATTCTGCCAACATTGGTTGCATCTTTGAATAATAGGTATATTGCGCACATTGTGGTAACCATGAATAATAAAATTCAATAATTTTCTTGTCGGCTTAGTCCCTTTATTAATCCGGGGTCACCACAGCAGAATGAACCGCCAACTTATCCAGCAAGTTTTTACACAGCGGATGCCCTTCCAGCCGCAACCCATCTCTGGGAAACATCCACACACACACTCATACATTTCGGCCAATTTAGCCTACCCAATTCACCTGTACCGCATGTCTTTGGACTGTGTGGGAAATCGGAGCACCCGGAGGAAACCCACGCGAAGGCAGGGAGAACATGCAAACGCCACAGAAACGCCAACTAAGCCGAGGTTCGAATCAGCGACCTTCTTGCTGTGAAGCGACCGCACTACCTACTGCGACATTGCCTCGCCCCCATGAACAATATATATATATATATATATATATATATATATATATATATATATATATATATATATATATATATATATATATATATATATATAATAGCTATAGTAAATATGTTGTGTACTTACAAATGTGTACTTACAAAATATGTACTTACACCTTAGCCTACGTATGTAAGTACACTACTGTAAATACATATTAAGTATGGATGTACTTCAATTGTAAGTACAATATAAGAACATGTAGGTACATTGTAAGTTGTACTAAATGTGTACTAAATGTGTATTTAGGGCTGTAGGTACATAGTTACTAAGGCCACCTAATGTAAAGTGGGACCAAAATTGGCTCAAAATAACGCAAAAACAACCAATTTTTACTTTTTAGTGAAATACATGTGTCCTAATAGTGTTTTTAGCAGTGTGGGACACATATATGACGGTCAACAGCTCAAAAAAATGTGTTGTGGTGTTTCATGACCCTTTAATAAATAGTGCACCAATATAAATCATATCAAAAAGCACGAATATAAGAGGGAACACAAGACACAAATTGTGAGTCTGCATAATGGCTCACTGTAACAAATATGGCCGACCAGACACAAAATTATTTTGCTTTTTATTCCACAACCGAGCCTTCTTTGCCCAGAGAACACTCAAAACCTGATTCCGAGGTATTTACGACCCAAAAGAAATGTGCCATGCGGCATTAAACAAAGAACGGTTCAGGACCCTTTAAGCTGCTTAACACTGATGTTTTCATATAAACTTTACTCTCTTTGTGTAATCATGTGTTTTGCAACGTTTCCCTTGCTCCTGTATCAACATTGTGATTTTTAATACTTCTGTATAAAATGTTTAACTGTACTAAAACTAAGCAAGCCCTTATACTGTTCGTGTTTGGACTTTTCGAAAAGCTCACTCGCAGGACTAATTGATCGTTGACATTTTATTTTAATACGAGTGCAACATATTAACATTTGTAGAGACTTTAACATTTCTGTCCCGATTTGCATAAAATTAGCCTATGCAAATTCTTCTGCCTTCGACAAAGAGCCATAAAGTTATTTTTCCAAGAAGTTAGCTTCTAATTGGTCAACTTTCCATGGAGGGTGGATCCGAACCCGCCCTATAAAGCTTAGGACCAAGCTAAACTCTCCCCCTCTGTTCAAAACTTCACTCCTCCCCAGTCTCCAGAGCAACACCCCCCCCCCCCACCCCTCTGCTCTGAAACACGCTGTTTTAAACTTTCTTCAAACTCTCTGCAACTTCCTCAGAAACCCAGACAGAAAACGGTTAATCGCACCGCTCGGACATGTCACTGTTCAGAATCCTTTTGCTGCTTCAGCTTCAAACACGGACTCCTCCCCACTACAAAGGCTCGTGAGGAACAAAGGATCAGCCAGCCGAATCACGTGCTCAACAACGGGAGCTCGGACATCACGAACAGACCGCAAGTATCACCTTTCTCCCAACATCTAAACTGGTGTGGACTAAATTCAACGCTAAAGAGACAATAGAAGGGTTACATTGAATTTGATTACGTTTGGTTTGCTTGGTTTGCTTTTACAAACTCCGAGGTTTTCCCATTATTACATCCTCTCAACCTCTTACTTCACGTTCGTTACTTTTCCCCATGCTTGTATGAATGTGTGTTTGTGTTAGGTGTTAGTTTCTGTTAGAGTAGTCAATAAAGTTTAATTTTGTATAAAGAAAGGTGCCTGTGTATGTTAATGAATCTAATGTCTTAAAGGGGTGGTCCACAATAGCTTTTTAAAGCTTTGGTTGTGTTTATGGGGTGCAGAACCATATGTGTTCATGATTCATTTGTAATAAATGACATTATTTGTTCACAGATCTTACCTTCAATTTATACAGCTACTGAGCTAACATGGAAACGACCATCATATTTCCTGGTTTGTTCTATAAAGCCCGCCCTTAAAGGGATCTGATTAGTCAGCTAACCTAATGTGTTGTGATTGGTGGATCGGCTTCACGTCACCAGGAAACGTCATGCCTCTTTTGCATGCTATCAGACTGTAAATAATGTCATTGAAGCCGTATCAGTTTGAGCCCGAGTCCGACACAGAAAATGGAGAGGACACAGCTGAACCCATGCAAACGCGACTTTTGCAAGATATTTCAGAATGGTACGTTTTTGTTTTGTTCATTGGTAAGAGGAATGTGATCAAGCCATCAACATTTCATAGAAGTAGTAATTTATTTGCCCTAGCCCACTCAGGACAATGTATTTACTATTGCATACAATTTTATATAATGTGGTTTAACCTTGTGAACGACAGTAATAAACAAATTAATAAAACATTCAAATACTTTTATATACATTTTTTTCATTTTCTGAGTATTACAGTGGTCAGTTTGTACGAATGACATTCCATACTACTGTAAATAGCAAATGGTACATTATATGGTGGCTGTAAGGTCTCTGTTTCTAATAAATAGCAGGTAACTACTTTGTTTTTTGTTCACTTTCTGAGGTTTAACCACGCCATAAAAATGCGATCGTAATAACATTGTACAATAGTAAGGCTTAATTAAAACGCACTTCAGGTATTTATAAAAGGTCAATGTTTATGCTGAATAAATAAATTAAAATGATACTTACAAAAACATGACATCCCATACTAGTGTATATAGGAAATAGTACATTATAAGATGGCTGTAATGTCTCCGTTTCTAATAGATAGCAGGTAAAACGATCTATTTTGTTTTCTCGTTCACTTGAGGTTTAACCACGCCATAAAAATGCAATCGTAATGGTATTGTATCGTAATAAGGCTAGGACAAATTAAAATGCACTTCAGGTATTTATAAAGGGTATGGCTATGCTGAATAAATGATTGAATATAATACTTACAAAAATGAAAGCACGGACGAACCTATACTGAAAACAGCGCAGTTTTGTACATACATAATGAAACATGCGTTACAGAAAAATGAATAAATGATATTTTTATTTGAGTAAAACGGTCACGAAATTACCGTAACAGTAATATGTGTGCTAAACACTGAATTGCTGCGGTCTTGAATGGATTTCTGAAGTGCTCTTGGCTTGATAACATCTTTTTTTCTTATTTTACATCTAGTGTCAGTTTATTTTATTGATGAATGTTCAATGTTATAAGAGCAACCAATAATTATGTGGTAACATATACAAATCAAGCTAATTTTTTGTTATGGGAATACATTTAATTTTCTTTAGGCGCACGTGTAATAACTGTGAAAAAAATGCCAACAGAAGTAGAAAATATCTGTTGCAAAGAAACACAGAAGGTAATGTAAATGCATTAATGGCTTTCCATTAATTTTTCTTAGCTTGACTAATAGTGCACTTTTCATAAAGGATACATGCAAGTTGACCACACAGAAATTCATTGTCATACATTACGGTTTAGATTGTCTAGCACATGATGCAGGTTCAGACCCTTCTACTTGCAACCATCCTGGTTTTGAACCCAATTGTTTAAACATGTACACATTACAGAATATAAATAATATATACAGGGCAGACTATGGACCGTTGAGACACAGAAATGTTGAAGAGTAAGTTTTTGTAAAATGTATTTAAATAAATGTTATTAAATGTATTTTAAGTTACCAAGTACAAATCACTGAAAACCAGTCTCAAAAAACTTAAATAGACAATAAATATATACACATATGTACAATTGCAAAGTTTGATATGCAATGCTGACATCCGTTTCCTTTTATTGCCATAGGCGTTTCCGTTTTCTGTCATATCGCAGCTTTGTTAGCTGGTACTGGGGCTGGCTAGGACGTGATGTGAGGGTTGTCATCCCGTCATGTGTGGTGTGTCAGATACGCCAGGAGTTTCCGAATGCAGCAGGACAGTATGTTGGGTTCCGGCCTCCTCTTGATTAAATCTAGAAACATGATGTGAAATAACATGCTCTTTTGAGGGTTTCTCAAATTGAGAGGAAAGAGGTGGTGGAACTGGAATGGACTGCAGCTCTTCCACATATGGTGCTGGATCCAAACAGACTTCATGTAGCACAAGGACCATGAGGTCCTTCACGTAGCCTAATAATAATAAAAAAAAAAATTTCTGAGAAAACAATTACATTATTGGAACAACTGTACTGTGATATTTATTCATAATTTATTTAATCTGCTTATATTTACTTTCTCATAAATAATTATTTGTAATTTTGTTATTAAAAATTCATAATAAAAAATATCCAACTTACCATATGTTGGCTCTGTTTTCACTGGTTTTGCCGTGCATTCCCCCTTTTCGTTTTTGGAAATACAAATTTGTACACAGCCTGTCCAGTGGTTGTTATTGCCTGTTCACTTTGATAATTTTCGTTATGGTGCATAGCTGCGAGGTATAACCTGTAAATCATTGAACAAACCAATGAAAAATGTACACATTGTAACAACTATTATATAAATATTTTAAATGACAAAACAAATTAACAGACAAATACCTGCACAGCATTCCAATAAAAGGAAAAACAACATTCTTTGGTGTGAAATGCAGAATCACACTATGAAATGCCTTAAGTGAAGATGTTTGATAATGGTGGCTGAGTTTTGCAACATCCTTCACAACTCTCTTGTTGTTTAAAATCTTTTCCACTTTATAGAGGGCCTGTGAACCTGTAATGATACAGCCATGAAATATGAACAGCAGCTCTACATTTAACCAGTATTACTAATATATATAACTTTTTTTTGGATAAATACCTGGTTGGAACCATTTTTTGCGATCTCTTGAAAGTACATCAGGGTGTTCACACTTTGGGTACAGCAGATTATTGTGAACGTGTACATTTTGTATGGGGTTCAGTAAGGATGTTAATTTGGCAACCTTTTCCAGGCCAGACACGGAGGAAGTCGCACTCCAGTAAACATGGTTCTTTATCCTCTGGTTTTAATCCTCTTTTTCCATGTGACTTCGTTGCTCTGTTGATAAGTACGCATAGGTTTAAATAAATAAGTAGAAACATTTACAAATTAAAACAAGTATAACAGTTCTTGTGTATGTTTACACTCACCTGAAATAGTTGAAGATCAAAAATTTTGTTTGTTTCATTGTCCATCAATGTGTAGCTGCCAAATTTTGAGTGTCCTATTCGGAAAAAAAAAAAAAAATTATACTTTAACACACATACATTTATCAAATTTCAAAGTGATTTAAATAAATCCACCATACCTGGGGCCTCATGTACGAAGACTTGCGTGGAAATCATACTAAAACATTGCGTACGCACAAAGCTGTAAATGTGCGTACGCAGAAAAAAATTCAGATGTATGAAACACTGCGTGTGCCGAATCTCACGCATATTCTTTTGTACATCCGAATGAACGTGAAACTGAGCGCAACATGCACGAGCACAAAACCCCTCCCTGCCTCCTCCCCCGTATGAATATATTAATGACTATGCTAATGGTAAAACCCAACCAAAAAGCAATAACAAAAACAAGCAAAAAGAGAAACTTTGAACAGAATGTGAATTGGAGGTGCTCCTTTCGGAGGTAGACCGGAGAAAAGCGGTGTTATTTGCAAGTTTGTTCTCCGGAATTAACAACAAAAGAAAAAAATAGAGTGGGAGAGTTTAACTGATGCGGTTTACACAGTTGGGTCTGAACATCGCACTGAGTTAATTAAAGAAGAAATAGTGAGGTTTATAACTGTAAAATGTTGCAGTATCCGTAACATTCTCAGTGGCGCAGCTTGTAAGACATGTCAACATATTTTGACACGTTCGAGCATGAACTCGCTTCGAATCCAGCGTCTGATGAACTCTTTCTTCTTTTTTCCCCGCTACATATCAGATTTTGCCAACTATTTATCACGAGAAAGACAGGTAGGAATCATTAATAAGTTTGTGCATCATATTTTATTTGCACATTTATTGAATGGAAATGTTTCTGATTCAAGCATACAAATTCATCTTCAGATAGTGTCTTTATAGCAATGTGCGTGCAGTAGATAGCTCAGATTACATTGGGAAAACAGGCGACCACTGCAAATTGTGCTTTAATGTTTAGCTGGTCAACTACGTGGTATGGAAACCTTATATACCTGCTAGATGAACCCGTCTCATACAGCTGCCATTGCAAGGCTCAAAGACACTTTGTAGAGAGTAATTTAACACAACTGCCCCTAGGAGTCGCCAATGAAAATAAAACAGACACGCACAAAAAAATGTGCCTACGCCAGCCATAAAGCTGCCGTGAAGCTGCGCACATTCCCACGTTCAGTTCATTGTTAGTAAATCCAAAAGTGAGCGATTCTGAGCGTGAAACCTGGCGTACGCAAAGTTTTTGTGCGTACGCAGCGTTCATACATGAGGGCCCTGGTGTGTCAGCTCTCATATCTCCTGCTAATGCCACCGCTCTCTCTTTTTTAAGCTGTGTAAAAATATTTTGTTGCTCTAGATTCCACTTGTGTATGATGGCTGGTTCTAAGAAATTTCTGGCATGGTTCCTGAAAGCAGAGTACTGAATCGTTTGAAGATTCATGGCCTTGAAATTATTTTTCACTATAAATGATCACAATCTCCCGAATGATCTGATGATAGTACTTTTGTTTGATAGTGATGTATAGAGTCTATATGGTATCTGTAAATGTTTAGTGTGTGAAATTGTTGGACAACCACAACACACACATTAAACAGCAAAATAAACATGTCTATAGCTTACTAAAAGCCTTTATGTCTGTTCATATATTTTATATAAATGCAGAGCAGCAAGACCCATGGGATTTCATCAGCCACTCACCATCAGAGTCCTCCGTGAAAGCTGAGAAGAGCAGAAGAGGAAGCCAAGCAAGAGATGCCAGAAAAAAAGGGGGAAGGAAATAATGTGTTGTTTTGCTGTTTGAGTATAGGCAGGGGCAGTGGGTAGCACAATCGTCTCACAGCAAGAAGGTCACTGGTTCGAGCCTCGGCTGGGTCAGTTGACATTTCTTTGTGGAGTTTGCATGTTCTCCCCATGTTAGCGTGGGTTTCCTCCTGGTGCTCCCACAAGTCAAAAAATATGTGGTGACATTGGGTAAGCTAAAATTGTCCGTAGTGTATGTGTGTGAATGAGTGTGTATGGATGTTTCCCAGTGATGGGTAGCAGCTGGGTGGCAACACAGTGGCACAGTAGGTAGTGCTGTTTCCTCACAGCAAGAAGGTTGCTGGTTCGAGCCTCAGTGTCACGGGCAAAGAAGAGGTGAACTCAAATGCAGAGGAAACAAAGTCTTTATTCAAGTAGAGGGTCTCAGGAAAAGCAACGAAACAAAGGTATCCCAGTTGGGTAAATGCTGGGGAAGCATTAAAGAAAAAACTCCACAGTAACGGGACGCTCGCTCACTGGAAGTCCTGGACACAGATACAGGGTGAGTAACAGAATGCTTCACACAGACACATAAGCGACAACATACTGACAAACATGAAGGGAAATGACGTGCTATAAATGGGGAAAAAGGGAATGAGGAACAGGTGGAAAGAATTAGCCGAAATGACTGGTGTTCCTGTGACTGCACATAAAAGCAGGTGAGAAAGGTGATCTGTAACACTAAATAGAGGAAGGTAGCAAGAACGCAAGGTACGGTGACAGTACCCCTCCCTTCAAGAACGCCCCCTGGCGTTCCCTGAAGACTCACCATGGACCTGATGAAACTGGTCAATGAGAGAGCGGTCCGGAATATCCCGAGCTGGGATCCAACATCTCTCCTCCGGACCATAACCCTTCCAGTCTACCAGATACTGATAACCTCTACCTCTTCGCCTCACATCCAGGAGACGGCGCACTGTGTATGTAAGTGCACCCTCAACCAGCCTGGGAGGCGGGGGGGCAGAGGTTAAGGGCTGCAGGGGGGAGCGAATAACAGGTTTAATTTTAGACACATGAAAGACTGGGTGAATATTACTGATCTGAGGGCTTAATTTGAGACGAACCGCCACAGGACTGAGCACCTTGGTGATGGGAAAAGGTCCGATGAATTTGGGTCCCAATTTACGTGAGGGGAGTCTAAGGGGAATGTCCTTAGATGACAACCAAACCTTCTGACCACACACGTAACGAGGGGGCACAGAACTGTGGCGGTCCGCAGATGACTTGTTCCTATCGCCAGTCCAGATAAGGGCTTTTCTGGTGATTCTCCATGTTTGGAGGCATCTCTTAATGAACGAATTTGCGGAGGGAACAATGGCGTCAGGTTCTTGGGAAGGGAATAGAGGGGGCTGGTAGCCTAGGCAACACTGGAAGGGGGACAACCCCGTAGACGAGACCGGGAGGGAGTTATAAGCGTATTCGACCATGGTTAACCTGGAACTCCAAGATAAAAATTGGCAAACCCCAGAAACCGCTGGACCGCCTTGCGACTGTCTGGGGTTGGCCAATCCGCAACAGCATTTACCTTGGCAGGATCCATCCGCAATCCCTCGGGCGACAGAACAAACCCCAGGAACGAAACCGACTGTGTATGGAACCCACACTTCTCCACCTTGGCGAATAGACGATTCTCCAGTAGCCGCTGAAGCACCCGCCTGACGGGCTGGACATGCTCCTGTTCATTCTGGGAAAAAATCAGAATGTCATTGAGATAGACGAACACAAAGCGATTTACCATGTCCCTGAGCACGTCATTGAAGAGTGCCTGGAAGACCGCCGGTGAATTGGAGAGCCCAAAGGGCATAACTAGATACTCAAAATGACCAGTAGGGGTGTTGAAGGCGGTCTTCCATTCGTCCCCCTCCCTAATTCGAACTAGGTGGTAGGCGTTGCAGAGATCTAATTTAGTGAAGATGGTTGCCCCCTGCAGGAGTTCGAAGGCCGATGACATCAGTGGCAATGGATAACGGTTCTTTACCGTGATATCATTCAACCCCTGATAATCAATGCAGGGGCGCAGAGATCCATCTTTTTTCTCCACAAAAAAGAACCCCGCCCCAGCTGGAGAGGAAGAAGGACGTATAATACCTGCTGCTAGAGAATCGTGGATGTATTTCTCCATGGCCTTCCTCTCGGGTCTAGTCAGAGAGTATAGACGCCCCATAGGTGGAGAAGTTCCGGGTAATAGGTCAATAGTCCCCTTCCGCACCGGAATCAATAAGGGCAGACACCTGCTTAACAAGACCCTTAACATATAACCAGGCTTGGAGCGTCGCCCGACCCCTGGGCAGTGCACGTGTGTTCATGGTGCTCACCGTAACTCCGCCCTTAGATGGCTTACGTCGGCTTTCCGTCGCCGACAAACGAGCTCTTCCAACTTGCATCGGCTCCTCCTCCGGAAATTCGGGCTGTTGTGACACGACTACATCCAGCGCGGTGTTGTTCCTAGGAGAAAACTCATTGACTCCGCCTCTGCGATGATATGCTCTGAGCGCGAGCCGGTTGTCAACACGGATGGCGAGATCGATGAGCCCATCGAGACTGGACGGCAGCTCCAGCAAGAAAATCTCGTCTTTAATGTACTCCGCCAAGCCGTGAAGGAAGTGGTCCCATTGAGCCTTGGCATTCCAGCCGCTGTTAGCCGCCAGGGTGCGGAACTCGATGGAATAGTCCGCCACTGATTGGTCCGCTTGTTGAACTGCCGCGAGTGCTCTCGCAGTCTCGGTCTGCAGCAGGGAACGGTCGAACACCTTTTTGAGTTCGTCAGAGAAGGCTTTAAATGTGTTGCAGCACTCACTCTTGTTGTCCCACATCGCCGTTCCCCATTCTCTGGCCCGGCCAGTCAGGAGAGTTATAGTGAAGGCTACCCTGGGGGTCTCTGTGGGGTAGCAAGATGGCTGGAGCGAGAAGGTGAGGGAACACTGGGACAGAAAAGATCGACAAGAGTCGGGCTCACCAGAGTAAGCAGCAGGTGGGTTGAGACGAGGTTTGGCCTGTCGTGGAGTGGTTATCGCCTGTTCCGACGAAGCCGCCGCTGGAGGATCCGGGAGAGCTGCTGGAGGGAGAGTTGCTGGAGGATTTGAGAGAGCAAGCTGCAGCTGATTGAGGCGCAGCAAGTTGTTGGGACACCTCCGCAAACGCTTGGTGGGAGGCTGCGATTTCCTCCTGTTGTCGGCCCAGTAATGCGCCTTGTTGGGCGAGCGCTCGGCGAATATCAACGTCCTCTGCTGAGTCCATAATGGTCAGTATGTTCCTGTCACGGGCAAAGAAGAGGTGAACTCAAATGCAGAGGAAACAAAGTCTTTATTCAAGTAGAGGGTCTCAGGAAAAGCAACGAAACAAAGGTATCCCAGTTGGG